CGCCATCCCCTAGAGTGGATTATTGTGATTGCGTGTATTATTTCGTCGGCGTATATTATTACTTTTCGCGTATTTCATCGCGTAAATTATTTCTTGCGTGTATTATTTCGTCGGCGTATATTATTACTTTTCGCGTATTTCATCGCGTAGATTATTTCTTGCGTGTATTATTTCGTCCGCGTATATTATTACTTTTCGCGTATTTCATAGCGTAGATTATTTCTTGCGTGTATTATTTCGTCTGCGTATATTATTACTTTTCGCGTATTTCATAGCGTAGATTATTTCTTGCGTATATTAGTGCGTCGGCGTATATTATTACGTTTCGCGCATTTCATCGCGTAGATTGTTCCTTATTGCGAGTACAAGTTACACGTACGTTTTTCCGGGAATATTATTTCTGCGTCCGAGTTTATTTATACCGCGCAGACCCTTCGAAAGACCTTACGTGGTCGATGGATTGCGATTGATCGCGGCGAATATTTCGCTCGCGTCCTGCAAGTTGTAACGCTATTATCAAGCTTTCTATTATATTATAGTTTGATTTACATGTTATTTGAATGCTTTCTTTTGTGTTTGTCTTCGCTTCACCACGGTCAAACCCCTCCGCATTCGGCCTAGGTAAGAACTACGACCCTCTACCGAAAATCCTGAGCAGTCGTTGCGATCGGCCAGAGCGGGTGTATCTTGACTATTGAATTAAGAGTTATCTCGATAATGAGAGTTGGTTTCGGATCTATGTAGAGTTCATGTAGAGTACTTTTCGCGGGTTAGAGTAAACGGTGGTGTGGCCGTATCCACACCTGGCGCCCAAAGTAGTTTCGTATCGCTTTCGAGATCCGCTCTGCCACCCGATCATAGATTTGCTACGCGATTCAGTCCCGCCTCACGGCCCGGGGAAAATAAAATAGAGAAATAGCGTCGCAATTGACAGTTTTTTTGAATTATATTCATTATCCTTATTAGAAAAAAAATTTTCTTCAAATAAAGTCTTCACATTTGTTATTGGTATTTCACTTTGCTCGTTTAATCCAATAAAAATAGGTTTATGGTCTGAGAAAAAAGTTTCGTATACTACAGCAGTGTAATTAAGTATTCGATCAGATATAAATATTACATCGATTTGCGTATTAAAATTTGTAGTTAAAACGTGTGTTAAAAGAGCACGTTTAAAATTTAATTTTTCTAAATGTTTTTTCAAAAATCCTCTATCATTATACGAATCGTAGTTAAAATCACCTATTACAATCTTTTCATTACCTAATGTTTTGCTCAAAATATTACTTACTTAATTCATAGGTAAATGCTGTATTAGTTACTGATGGTGACTTATAACCTGTAATGATTTGTACTTCATTTGCAGTTAGAAGTATTAAATCAATATGTCGATGTCCATTTATTGTTTTATTTTTTTGTATATGTCCATTAACATTTCCGTTCAGTTCTTTTTTTATAAAACATATTATTCCTCTTGTTGATCGTTTATCATAATTATCTAAACGGAAAATAATATTAAATCCTTCTAATGTAAAATTATCATTTGCTATTGTTTGTGTTTCTGAAAAAATTAAAAGGTCAGTTTGTTTATACCATTTATCACAATTTATATTAGTAATATTTTTATTCAAAGATTGTACGTTCTGGTATATAATTTTTATTATATTTTTTTTTATAACTTTTGAGTACGCTAATTCAAGAATTTTCTCTTGTTTAAGTTTTTTTATTTCCAATTACAAAGAATTTTCTTCAAAATTCCACAGGCTCCATTGACTAGGCCATCTGCAATATCTACATTATTGGTTATCATATAGTTGATTCCAATTTTTAATGTGATTTTAGAATCTAAACCACTGCATTCTGTTTTTTTTTTATTTTTTAATGATGTTAGCAGTTTATTTCTTGTTTTACTATTTACTTTTCCTAAAATTGAGTCTATTGCTTTAAATTCATAAGCGATTCCATCTTTTAAATCTATCTTCAATTTATTATAAATATCCACCGAACGATTGTCAGCATATAACCTTACGGCGTCTATAGAGATGTTATCTTTTGTCGTTTCTCTTGATCTTATTAGATCAATATTGTTTTCAGACATTGTTCCTCTCGCAAGATTGTTAAGTGTTTCAATAAAATTTTTATCTTTTTTTTGTCTCATTATTTCCGTTAATTCAAATAATTCAAATTCGCTCCATAATACATTTTCTGAAAAAAAAAAAAAAACCGCTTAACATGCTTGATTTAGGTGGGAGATAGGTAAATCTGAAGAATAGTGGCCTCCTCACCGATTTTGTTCAACTTGGGCTCAATCGACGCGTTTTTGCATGAAACGACCAAATCTGGAAGAAAAAAGTGTCGCTCTGCCCCGCGAAGTGAGATATTAACGGTTAAAGTTGACGACTATCAGGTTATGAGACCTGTCATACCGACGCGATGTAGCGACTGGTAGCGACCACGAACATGCCCTGCGGCCACATGCGCATGCTCCGTAGCCGCACGCGCATGCAAAAGAAGGTCACGTGACAACTGTCTGCTTGGTAAGTACATATTTATGTGTATGTACTTTTCACATACCAACTATTCTCTGCTTTAACAAATTATTTATGTTTTGTTAACTTAAACGCTTAATAACTGTAACAGAAATAATTTGTTAAAGCAGAGAATAGTTGGTATATGAAAAGTACATGTAAATATGAACTTTTCATATACCAACTATTCTCTGCTTTAACAATTTTATTTCTGTTTCGTTAACTTCAACACTTAATATCTGTAACATAAATAATTTGTTAAAGCAGAGAATAGTTGATATATGAAAAGTAAATATTTATGTGTACTTTTCATATACCAACTATTCTCTGCTTTAACAAATTATTTATGTTTCGTTAACTTAAACGCTTAATATTTGTAACAAAAATAATTTGTTAAAGCAGAGAATAGTTGGTGTATGAAAAGTACATGTAAATATGAACTTTTCATATACCAACAATTCTCTGCTTTAATAATTTTATTTCTGTTTTGTTAACTTCAACGCTTAATATCTTTAACAGAAATTATTTGTGTTCCAAAATATTCTCTGTTGTAATCAAAACCGTAATGTAGCAGTGCTAAGTTGTAAAGGTGCCAATTCATGGGACGCTGAAAAACAGCGTTGAGCGTCGTCACGTGACATCACTATGATGCCAGCGTCAAGAAAGAGAAGTTGGATTTTTCCAACTTTAAGCGTCAAAGCCAAAGCAGCGCGAAGACGCCGAAATTTTGACGCTGTTTCCCTTTTCATGAATTTCAATTGACGCCGGCGTCAATTGTGGCCATGCGACCTTCTTGCCGCTGAAAATGAGCGTCGAGCGTCAGCATGAAAAGGCACCTTAAAGCGCGTCATTGAGCATGCGCGTGTGGCCACAGGGTATGGTCGTAGTCGCTGCATCTCGTCGGTATGACAGGAATCATAACCTGATTCCTGTCAACTTTAACCGTTAATATCGCGCTTCGCGGGGCAGAGCGACACTTTTTTCTGCCAGATTCGGTCGTTTCGTGCAAAAACGCGTCGATTAAGCCCAAGTTGAACGAAATCGGTGAGAAGGCCACTATTTTTCAGATTTACCGGGAGATATATCGAAGTATCCATAACCGGTGGTAATTGATAAAGATCTCCTACCATCAAAACAGAAACTCCACCAAAGCTTCTGTCTCGACCCATTATTTGTCTTAATCGTGTATCAATTCGACTAAACATCGTACTACCCACCATCGATATTTCGTTTATAATTAATAATTTTAATCCAAATAAATTCTCTCGTATAGTATTAGCCACATCTTCTGACAATTCTGGCATTTGTCCTCCGTATTGTGTTACTGGCAAAGCAAAAGCTGTGTGTAACCCCAATAAGCACAAGTACGTTTTATGTACGTACAATGAACATCCATGTCGGACATTGTGTACATCCACTGGACGTCCATATTAAGTACGACGGACGTACAGTGGACATCCATTGTATATCCGTTTGCAACTGGGATGGACATCCATAGGACATCCATTATTGGACATTCATGGATCTTAAATGGATATAAATGATTAATCTAACGGACGTACTTTGGACCTTTTATGGACAAAATTTATACCTTTACTGGACATATTTCGGTTTCTTATTATACGTGCATAATTTAGAATTAATTAGGTAATAAAATGAATAACGATTTAGTGAAAAACTGAAATAGTTTTATTTTATACAGTTTTATATTATCACAGTATACATATACTGATTATTATTACTGCACTTATTAGTATCACATCAGTATTTTGTAATACTGCAATACATTTATTAAATTAAACTATAATAATATTTATATATGTATATATAGCTACATATAACTAACTCTGTTATAATCTTATATATTCTATATAAATTAATAATTTATATATATAAACTATATATATATATACATATATAAATTAAAATATAAACAAAAAAAAATATAAACCATAATAAAAAATGAAAGTGATGATGAGTTTCTCAGGTAAGTTATTAATAAATGATTCGACCAATTAATTTTCAGCATCTGAACCTTCACGCGCAGTTTCTGCATCATTATTATTCTCTCCACGTTTCTTATTATTATTATTACTACGTTCTTTGGCTCTTCTTAACCACTTTTGGATTGCTTCTTCGCACTCTTTATTAGTAGAATTTGGGATGCTTTTTTTGACAGAACCTATAATATAAAAACAGGGTAAAAAATAATTAGAAAATTGTAAATAGTATAATTGTAAATAGTAAAATTGTAAATAGTAATTGTATATTGTATATTTGATAATCTACGAAGGAAGAATGATTTTAATAAAATTGTTAAATAAAAGATAATCGGTAAATAAAATATAATCTAAAAAACTACTTACCAATTATCAAATCCGCTAATTTTAATTTGTTAAAAGTTTTTTTGGCTTGCCTTCCCAACCAACTATAGGTTGATGCAAGGTCATTTGTTATTAACATTTGCAAAGCTTTTTAAGTAAAATTTTGTACAGACCTTTCACCAATTTTTGCAAGTTCATTCATCTGTAAAATTCAAAATAAAAATAATGATCAACTAAAATTTCATTAATTGATAAAGTATATTTGTAAAACTGCAATAAATATGTAACATATATATGTGAGAATAACACATTCATAAAATATTACCGCAACGTTAAAATTTTTCTCGTCGTTTAGGTGTTTATCGACGCGGATTAGGTCTTCCTCGTCTTTTAACGGAAAATTAAACATTGTGAAGAATGAAGTTGTTGCTTCCTCTACTTCTTGAGTCACCTTATTCGTAACAATACGATTAACCGATGTGGTTAATTCGTGAAGTGAATCTGTATATTGCCACATGCTGGCTTTGAAAAGATTTTGTTGGTGGATGATTTCTTTAAAATAATTTTCTGGAAAAAAGTTTAATATATTTATTAATCGTGTCGAACATGTAATAATAATTTAATTTTATAATAAGATTAATGAGATATTCTATCGAAAATAACTGTACATAAAATATATATTACTCGCAATCGCAAAATTTGCCTATTGCCCGAATTTTTTAACCAATGCAATATAAGGCTTAAATGTCCATAACGCGTTCTGAGTACTTTATTTCGGCCTCAACGCGTTGTGTTTTCCAACGCTCAGTGGTCAAAATAAATATCCAGAACGTGTTGTGGACATTTAAACTTATCCATATCGCATTGGTTAAAAATTCGAGCAATGGGCAAATTTTGCGATTGCAAATAACATATACATACCACAGTTGTGTTTTATATGTACAGGAAAACATTTACATTCTTGTTCATTAACATTCAATGGTTTATCGTTGTCATCTAAAGATTTATTACCTACAAAATTTACAAAAAATACATTATAAGCTTTTGCATTTTGTAAAGGTGCTTAATAGTTGTGATTAATAATTATATATATTACAAAAAATAATTTACCAATCGATAAATTCCTTTCAAATTTCTCATTTCGAATTCTATCGTTATTAGTAGCTTGACTCTTTTGTTTCGGCTTTCTTTTACTTATAAAAGTACTGGTGTCTGGAAGAAAACATTAGGAACTAAATGATTGAATGTTTTTTGAATTTATAAAGTATTCGCGAATGTTTTCTTTTATCCCTAAAAATTTACGTTATACTTTTATTTTAAAAAGATTTTAAAAAGTAAAATAACGCCAGATACTACTATGTCTCTTCATTTATAAGATAATTAATTTTTAACAAAATTTATATAATGTAGCAAATAAATACATGCATACGAACCATTCGTTAAATGTGGAGGAGTCGGCAATTTAGTCGGCAATTTATTATTATCGTCTGATGATGATAGATTATCCTCATCAAATGAAGAGCCAAACGTTTTTTTTATTATTTTCCTTTTATTTCTGTCAGATTCTGTTTCATTCTGTTTAGATCTGTCAGAATTTACATCGGACGAATATTCCGCCCGTTTACACTTTTTTTCTGCTGTTGAATAATCATCTAAAACAAAATAAATATAACATGACGACAATGCAATAAATATATTTTTTGTTAATTGATACATAAGAACACAATAAGTAATATATTTACAAAAAGTTCCATTTCGTATAAGCCGAATAGGATATGAAGGCCAAGAAGTATCAAGTGCATCGTGATTTTTTACTGCAGCTTTCAACTTGTCAGGTGTAAGCGTCGGCCAATAACATTTGTCGTTTAGTATCCAACTTGATGGAACTACTTCAACACAATCTTCATCAGTGAAAATCACAATAGTCCATGTCTTTGTCATTTTTCCTGCAAATTATTAACAATTTGTATACGCAACTTCAAATCAATCATTTTAAATATTATATAAATATTTGGAATCAAGCCGTTAACAAACAGAAAGGAATTCAATTTTTTATCTTATCGTAAAATTTATTTGTTAGGTATATATATTCTCAGAACAATTGAATATTATAATAATATTCTTTGGAATATTATTCATCATTTTTAAAAATACTGAGAAGTTAATAAATTTAATATTTAAGAAATATATCTCTATTTTTATTAATTTTAATTGTAAAATATAAAAATAAATTGTAAAATGACATTTAAATAATCCTAAATTAAAATTTTTTTATATAGAAAAATAAAATTATTAAAATCTATAAAATTCAATTAGATGCGGAATGAAGTAAGGGAAAAATAACAAATTTATCTTTAAAATGTAATCTTATACATTTATGCGATATTTCACTTATATTCCAACTTTGAAGATCGTTAACAACGTTATCAACTAAATATATACCCAAATCAGAAGAATTACATGGTTTATTATAAAAATCTTTTTTTGAATTATATTTATTTTCAATTATTACTATATTTTTATCGTTACTAGCAATATTTTTAATTAAAACAATGTCACCATTATTTAAACTACAACAATTATTTGGATCTTTTATTTTTAGAGTAAAATTAGAAAATACAATTTTTTCCCATTGACTAGTACACAAAAATTGATTTAAAGGGTTTATCATGTTTATTGAATAATTTGGGTTTCATATTCAAATTATTTTCTTCACTTAATTCTGCAAAATTTTCTTCATATATACGATTAACTATTTGTTGCAATGGTTTATCTTTTTTTCTAATATATCCTTTTATCTTTTGCATATGATTTTCAAAGGGACAGGCACTGTATTCTTGTAACATTCCGAACTTTTTTACATCATCGCATAAATGTAATAAGTTATGAATATTAATTGAACAATTATCTTTGCCATACAAAATTATATAACTTTTTACAAAATAATTAAGAAGAGAATTAGCGTAATCTAAATATCTAACATGATGGAGAGACGATAAAATAGTGACAGCTACATTTAAAGACATAAAATTGAGATAATTGTCTCGATTAAGTACAGATTTTAAAACAAGACCTGTGTACAATAAAAATTGTCTAAATTCTGTAGCTTTCCATCTTCTACTTTCTTCTAATGATCTAGGTGTACGATTAAATTCTAAAGGGATATTTTTAATTTGATTTATTAATAAACCAGAAATTTGTGTAATTTGTGCATGAGATAATTTTACTGATGGTTTACCAAAACACCACATACTCACTATAGCTTTTGTAACACCTAAATCAATTAAATGCATCGGCTCGACAGGAAAATCACGAATCATATCTAAATGTTCGATTAATTCAAGGTCAGAAGTTTTTGAACTTATGTGATGTTCTTCTTGAGATTTTGATCTAAATTCTAAATTGGTTCTATCACGGAATTTATTTAAATTCGAGAAACAAACTCTACCGTTAATATAATCCCCTTCTATAACACATTTCGTACATGAATAATAACCGGTATGACCTTTTGTAAATTTAATAAACGCCTTAGCAGGTGTATCGCAAATAAAACCTTTAATTTTGAAGGGATAAATAAAACTTTTGTTCTCTTTATTTATTATGATACCGTGTGTTGACAAATCGATAACTTCGGCAATAAAATCTTTTAAAAATAAATTTGCTTCATCTGGCTTTTTTCCCCCGTGATATATACCTACAATACCTACTTTATTACGATTTTCAACTAAACTACATAGTATTGGCCACAACTGCTGATTCGAACTTTTAAAAAGTGGTAAACCATCAATATTTATGTAAACTTCTATTTGTTGCAAATTTTTTAAAAATACAAATGAACATAATTTATGAATACAATTATTCAAACCAAAATGATAATAATGTCCTGGTTCAACAATCTTCAATGTATTTTTTCTAGGAGTTTTTAATAATACGCGAGCATCCGAAGGTAATTCATCATGTTCTGATTTTAAAATAGCTAATAATTCGTTAATTGCAACATGAATAATTTTATTTTTCCAAGCCCAAGTAGCAAGTTGTGATCGTAGAGAACATTTATTGGTTGTATTGGAATTTTCATAATTATTAATTAATTCGTTATTAAATGATTCGTTATTCAAAGTGCTTTCATTAAAATCTATAATAAAATCATTATTGGATGTATCACTATCTGAACTCTCTAAACTTTCTAATATATTATTATCAAATTCAATATTATCAAAATTATTATCCAAATCAATGCAATTAAATTGTTCATTAATATTCGTTTTATTATTCAAATCATTATTATTTAAATATTGAGCAAAAGCTTGATCAGATTCAACTAAATTTATCGTAGAATCTGTACTAGCTTTTGCTCGTCTATAATATTTAGTTGCAATTTTAGGCATACTCACTTATTTTCCAAGAATTTCCTAAAGGCAACACAGTCCTTAAGTGTGATCTTGTAAATTAACTGTACCAATGGTGTTGCGTAACCTTCCTCAATGGGTTTTTCAAAGCAACAGATTTTCCAGAGCTATATAAAATAAAAAATGTTTTTAATTTATAGGATTTAAAAGTATTAATTTATTTTAAAGAAGATATAAAATAAGAATGAGTTTAGATGAAGCATATTTTATATTTTGAGTCAATGCGCTAAGTCAAATACATGGGCTGCTTTCCAACAATGACACAGTGCGACATAGTATCATTCTATTGTCTTTCAATACCAGTGAACGGCAAAGATAAAATAATACTGTGTCATACTGTGTCGTTGCTGGAAAGCACTCATGATTAACAGGTTGTATGTACATACAATATGTGAAAATCTGAAATATGTATTATACATGAATGAATATTGTTAGTTCATTAAAAAGTTAGTTTATTTTATTAAACATATCATCTAAAAATATAAATTAATTTTAGATGTAGCAAAATGTATATAGCGTATTCTACAATGAGACAGAAGTCAGTAATCAGAAGATATAAGCGAGTCATAAGCCTGTTTTAAAGCATTCATAAGTTGGAACGCAGTTGTCATAATGAAACAGAAGTCAGCGCAATCAGAAGATATAAGCGAGTCATAAGCAATTATAAAGCATTCATAAGTTGGAACGCAGGTGTCATAAAAGATTGGCAAAAATCCAATCCTTGTCACTTATAGCTTATAGCTGCTTCTGTCTCATTGTAGAATAGGCTTATATATTTTATGAACATACATACAATTATATTTTCAAGCAGATTTTCAATATCGAAGTTCAACACATACTTACATTTTTTCGTATCCGTGTATCCTCACAACCTTTAGGTCTGTCTCGATCCGTTCGACAACCCGCGACACCGCTAACCGGATCAATCTCCGACGAGTCGTTCGTAATTCTTCGAAATACACCGCGTGTACCACACTTGGTTATTCTACACTATTTTTAAAATTATATATAATTGCGAATTATTATTGCGATAAGTAAATAAATATTATACGCTGCTTCTATTCTCTTGATAACGAAAAATATGTAATATCGTCATATAAAGTAAAATATTAACTTTTTAGGTTATAAGAATAAAAATCTGCTAAAATTATGTATTTATTAAATACATATATATAAATATACATATACTTACATTTTTTCGTATCCGTGTACCCTCACAACCTCTAGGTTTGTCCTGATCCGTTCGACAACCCGCGATGCCGCTAACCGGATCAATCTCCGACGTATCGCACACCGCGTGTACCCGCACACTTAATATTCTACACTGCGACAATTGACACTACGTACGTACGTACGTATACCTGCATGCCTCTCTGCGAGCAGCAACGTGATGCAGGTGAAATTATAACTGAGTAGCCCAGAAATGGACAATAGACCAAGGGTGAACCGGTACGATACACGAGTAACACGAGTAAGGCACGAGCGCGCTCATCCCTGCAAATCCGCCACAAGCCCGCCAAATCAAGTCACGTGATCGCGCTCGACCAATCCGCGCAAGACTCGTTAATTATTACACGCCCGGCCATGGTATCTGCACGCGTATGATCACGCCATAAAAAAAGACTGCTACGCATACTATTATAAACATATTATAGACATGACGACGGAAAAGTTAAAATGCTTTACGTGACGGGAGAGTAACGCTATGCCTTACAAAACTCATTTTTGTGACAAAAAATATGGATATATTAATAAATCCAAAATAAGTCCATGTACAAATGTCCAATGGATGTACAGTATATATTCATAAATTAGTTATATAAAGGGGATCTCAAATGGATGTCCACTGGACGTCCCTCTTTATTAGTCCAATGTACATCCTTATATGGATGTACAATGGACGACCTTATTATGTCCATGGACGTATGGTAGTAAAATGGACGTAAAACGGACGTCCATAAGATGTACGGTGCTATTTGGGACGTTACTCCACCTATCAAAAATGCTGCTTTGCCAGAGGGTGCACATAATAATACTTTCACTTTATTATTATTTTCACCAGGTATATCATCAAAGTAATGCAGCAATACCTGATAAATCGCATTAATCACTTTGCTTTTTCCCACACCAGCAGATCCGCTTAAAAATAATGTAATTGGTAACTTTCCATTCTTGAAACAATGTAAAACATGCATTGTAATTTCTCGTTGTTCATCATTTAATTCGCGAAGTATATTCATCATTTCTTCTTTTATAACTTTAGATGGACTACTTATTTTCCTTTTATTTTTATTTAAGCCATTAGCAATACCAGTTTGAGTAAATATATCTACCTCTTGCTCCTTTTCTACATTTGTTTTTATAAAAGGTTCTACTTCTTCATCTTCAATATCTTGCTGATCTTTTTGTGCTTGATCTAATGCATCGTTAATTTCTGCATCACCTATAACTGAGTATTTCTTTCTATTCTCTTCTATTTTTTGAATATTTTCTATGTAAATTCGCTCACAATCTTGTGTCTCCACATCGTTTAATTCATTTTTCCATAGTAAAAATAATAAAACCTGTTCTCGGAAATAATTATATCGATCTTGTTGCAATTTATATCGATTAAATCTAATAATTTTCAATTTATTTCGTTGTTTAATTTCACCGTCTTCACTATAATCATCATCGCTATCACTTTCATTTTCATAATTTTTATGTTCTAAGTTCGCCGCAAAATCTGCAAGACATCAGGATATTTAGAATAATTTCGATTCTCGTACTTTTCGATAATGTTTTTGTAATAGATATCCGTTGAATCCTCGCTAATTTTTTCTAAATGTTTTTTGTTTTTCAACATTCGTACACGCTCTTTTTGCGGAGAGGTATTAATATAAATAACAGCTCTACTACACAATGAAAGTGGTAGACTGAAAACGTGATAAACTGCTTCTTGTGCAGACATAGTATTACCGTTTATAAAAATGTTAGCAATCTTTCTAAACTTCCGTCTAATATCTAAATTTCCATTTTCCAAATCTTTTGATGCTTCTCTTAATAATCGTGATAGACCTGCATCAACTTTTGTAACATAATTGATCATATACGAAGCACAACTATAGGGATCCAAAACAAATTGTATATCCATATTTGATTCAAGAAGTGTCAATATCACTTTGTTGTATGCATTAATGGCAACTTCGTTGCTTTGTCTTTTTAAGAAAATTTTAGTTCTTGATAAAGTGCTTCTGATTGCCTGAATGTAATCTCTTTCGGTCATTTTTAAACGTTCTAACATTTCCTCGAAAGAGATTAGTATATTTGTTTCAAAAAATTTTTGCATCATCTCTTTAATTTTTTTTACATTTGATTCATAATTTTTAGTCTTCTCCTTTTCTTCTAAGGGTTTAAGGATCAACGTATTTTTCATAACAAACATCGGAAAGTTAAACCTACACAAATATTTATTTCTTCTACCTTTATAACAGTTTTTATGTTGGCGAAATTCTTGGCCGGGCGTAACTCCGGTTCGCCAATTGGAGCAAAGCAGGCCGGGTCGACCCCGACAGGGATCAGGAGTGCGGAAAATGAGCAGACACTGGATTTCGCCTTCGATGGTGCACAGCACAATTTTATTACAGAAATATACAGTCAGCCGGTGGCCTTTACAACTTGAGGCGCGGCTAGAATGTGCGACGGGCACGTGTATGACGAGTGCGAGTATGCACTGCTTCAAGCGCACTTGGGGCGCAAAGATATAACGCGGAGACGGGCACTTAAATTAACGTTCACTTCTCGCGACGCGAGGGTGAAGATGCTGACGCTCAGAGGCGTAAATGTTCGTCGCCACACCGTAATAGCTGGAGCGATTGCGCGCAAACGGCGCGGTTGCGAGTGCCGTCGAACCGTGGCACGATGCACTGGCAGCCCAAATAATTGCGGCACAGATGCACGACGGGGCGTAAATCCGCGTGAACTGGAGTAGAGCTAGACTCAGTACGGAGACACACGAGCTGGAGTACCGCACGAGTTGTTCGATTAGCTTCTACTGAGGACCGGCGTTCTCGCGGGCTCGTTTCCGGAGCATTCGGTGACGCGACAATGAATTTGGCCAATCGGCGCGTTTCGCAGGATCACGGGATCCTCGCGTGTCCGGATCGATAGCGCTACGTGAGAGACCGAGCGGTCAGGGATGACGCGGGGGGAGCGGCGCGAGTCGCCTCGTTCAGGGGGCGGCTCAGGGATGGCGGTACCGGTATCGATCGTGGTAATTGATCGCGGTGATGGAAATCCTGAACATAACATGTCGGTTTATGTCGATGCATCTGCAAACGTATTATTGGATTTTTATCGTCGTAGTGACAAGTTATAATTTTATTAATCCACTTTATTAATTTTTCATTTTCGTCATCATTTTCTTCATTATAAATTGGAGCATTTTTGCAATATAAAAAATTATGCGTATGAACTGATCCTCTAGTTTGGAATTCTCTCCTCTGAAAGTAATCTACAACGTAATTTTCTCCAAATGGACCATGTTCATTTTGCAATATCGTCATAATCTGATTGAATCTTTCTTCTATATATCATACACACGTTACCGGATCTTCTCTAATCAACTTAGTTTTCTCTGCCATATCCATAGCATCATGAATGCTGATGTTTTTATTTTCTTGTAATTTGTATAAAATTTTTAATAAATCAGGATTTTTGTGTTCACATGCAGAAAAAGTAATAAACAATGTTGGAACTCTACATTGTCTCATCATGCCAAGTAAATGCTTCTTCTTGCTTTCCCAATATGATGGTGACGACCTCACTTGTCTCAAAAATCTATATCCATCGTCATGACGGATAGAATCATTTAAAAAATTCTGATCTTTAATTTTTTTAGCAGTTAAGTTTTCATTTCTTTTAACTCTTCTTAAGCAAATATTTAAATTTGACATTACTGATCTTTCCAATTTTTGTTTAGCCATAAATAAAATCCTTGTAGGCTGACACGATCTTCTATCTCTATGTCTGGCTTCAAATTTAATTCTTTCAGAGTATGACAATTTTTTTTTATCCAGAATTTCTCCTCCATAAATTTTTGTAAAGCATAATTCATCAATATTTTTCGTTAAATGCCAAGGTACTGGAAATTTGTTTTGTTCCGGTGCTATAATTGCTATATTTTCAGATATTTCTTTATTCCTATTTATAATTAGAATTTCGTCAATTGGTTCGAAAAAAAAACCGATTTTTCAGAATCTGAATTATCGTTGTGTTCTTCTAAATTTAATCGATTTATTGTATTTGTGCAGCTATTGCACTTATCATTATTATCTACAATAAAATCCAATTCTGTATTAAAATTTTTGTTATATTTTTTAAAGAATTCATCGTCAATTTTTATATTGTTTTTTATATACAAAAAAGTATGTTGTAAATATTCCAAAGCTTCACAAATTTTAGCTGGTTTTATGGTTTCATACATATAATCAGACTTGTGTTCCAGGTTCTTTTTTAGCTTAATTTGTATAGTCGACATTTTGTCGAAACTTCTAGGTAAAATATTTATCATCTCATTGATTTCAACCGGAATATTAACAATACTTCCTTTTAATGATAATTATGGGTTAATAGCAAACGGTTGTAATGCTTTTATTTGCATGAATGGTATATATGGTGATACCATTCTTTCTTCAACCGCTGTCAACATTATTGAACTTTAAATTTTCGTTTGCTGTTGTTTTTGGAAGCTGTCCTAATGTGATATATTTTTTATAAGTCTTACACATATATTCCGATGAGTTATTGATAATTTTATTAATAAATTCATCAATATCCATCCATGTGCCAATCAACTTATTTCGTATTTTGATAATACTAAAATGCTCTACA